GATCCAGTCAATCAACATGAAGGGTAACACTGCAGTTTAAAAGATCTGCTGCAATTTGACCCAGTAACAGAGAAAATGATTAAATATGTTGAAGCAGTTGCCTCCCATAGACCGAATTAAGACTCAACCATGATAGCATATGCAGGCACATCTATAGGCCTCTGTTGCTATAAAGCAAGAGAAGGCTATTTTCAATAGAGTAAAAGTTTCCTAGCAGAAGTGATGCAGGGGAAGGATTAGACACGATTTCCTGTTGCCTAGATAGAGTTGAATAGCTGAGTTTAACCTGTCCTTTGCTTGCTGACTGGGTGATCTAGAGAAAAAGGCAGTGGTACACTATGGTGTGACTCTCACCCAGACACTTGAACAGGCACAAACAACATACTGTCCCTGACTCATGGCCAGATTTCGAAGATTCTCTTCCTTAACAACACGAGGCCACGCACAGAATCTCACTCCAGCAAATGACTCAGCAGCCTTAATGATTATCAGTCATTTAGTTTCTGCCTATGAGTTCTCCCCTCTTCTTCTTAGAATCCTTATCAGAAGTCAATGAAAAGAGTGTCACCATCTCCAGTAAGTTTCAGAACAGGACCTTGAGTCAGTCAAATCAGTCATTTCTGTCTTACAATGGTTGAACTTGATTTCTTCTCCATGCATTAAATACTTGGACTGTCCCATTAGCTGAATATTTGGTTTGGTCTTTCTAAAGCAAAACCAGTAATCTGTCAATCCTGAGCAAAAGAAGGCAGAGGAAATTCCGTTCATCAGACAGAACTATTCCTTGGAGACAACATACATCAACCACGTCTTAAAGGAAGATGAAGTTTTATTCAGATGATATCGCAAGGAGTTTCCATTCCCATGTCAGTAATGAACATTTTAATTATGGGGAGAGGCTGGTTAATCTTTAACCAACAATTTACAACAGATTCCTAAAACAAACAACAAACTTACGAAGCTTCACGAGATCTTCTTCCTGTTATTCTGAAGAGTTTGTACTGTGAAGACTACCGGATTGATAGCTGTGTTATGAAAGAAAGAACGAGCTAATTAGGTGATGCGAACTACCCAATAAATCTCTAGTGGGAAGATCTCCTCTGGATACAACAGAGTGGAACCCATGCTGAGAGAAGATCTCAAAGGAATTGTTTATGCAATCCGAGTGCCTTCTGGAAAAAGTTTGACCTTGGTCCACTAACTCATTCTAAAAACATGGCAGACCCAATGGCAGATGACCAATGCCACCACTTTACATAGTATGACCTTAGGGGGGATACTTCTCTAGCTCGCACTGAAGCTGATGGAAAGAATGTCATTAGCTTCAAATGAGTATTAAAAGTGGATCTGTGCCCAGTTCACGAGTCTCATAACCCCCAACTCATAATGCATTCAGACTATTTAATTCATAGGATTTGTTATCAGGCAGAAATGTGATTCCTTTGAGGTGTTTCCTGCTGCAAGAAAGCAAAGTGTATGCATACACCAATGTTCCCAGAAAGCTTGAATGGAAAACCCTTTCGTGTCAGAAGTTTATTTTTATTGGTAAAATATTAAATAATATACAGAATTAAAAACTGCACTTACACTTCTGAGAAGAAATAATTCTTGGACAAATTATATGCTTGTTCCTGAGATTCCCTACATTTATTCCAGTAGCTGTGCACTCAAGACAGTACAAACCTTTATAATATAATCCTTTTCACAAAGTATTACAAAGTTTCTGCAGCTTCTTTTATTTATACGCACATACAGACTCGCACTCTCACATGGCTGTACAACACTCACACATGTACAGAGTACACACATACAGATGTGGAACCATATGTATGCATGTATATATACTAAGATGAAAAGAAAACAAAACAAGTCCCATAGTTCAGTCTATAGCGGCAAAACTCTTTCAGCAGGGGGATACAGGTTTACATTAGGGTTGCTCACATGCACCACTGTCATAGTGATAATTTCTAAACTCATTTTATAAAAGGATAAAGAAATGGGACACTATCCAGCGTCTTCACTGGCTTTTGGAATAAAATCCCATTTCTTGGATTTTCTTTTTTTATTTCTATTTGGTTTTTTTTTTTAATTGAAACGGTTCCTCAATTTGAGCTCAGAATATCTGTCACAGAACTCAAAGAATCATAACCAGGAAGAAAAGCAGTCATTTGCCAGATTACTCACCTGGCTTGCTTCAGGAAACCAGCACTAAAGTGGGCAGAATGCGGCTCCCTATGAGTCAGGGAAGATGCTGTGATAAACAGGTCAGAGCCCATAGCCTAAATTACGCTCAACTAAACGGTGCATGCTCTGCTATGATCCCACTGCTCCAGCACAGTCCCCATTTGTGGGAGGACTTGAGCAACCTATCTGAGGTTACCAGAACTCAGCCCAAGGAGTGTGAACCTGTGGGTGACTGCTACTGCTACAGTCACCCACTGAATGCATTTCTCTTCTTGAACTCAAACACAGAAGTCTGGGAAATTATTTTGGCAATCGGTCAGAATGGGAAAGTCTCCTCACCTTTGTTATTATAAAAAAGAAATCTTCTAAATACAAATTTAAAAGACAAAAGTGGCTACTGTGCATGCGCAGCGACTGCCTTGCAAAGAAATCTCAACGGGATTTTCTCTCTTTGTTTTATTTCGTACCTAAATATGTATTTACAGAACAGCGGATTCAGTCTTCTGGGGGGGAAGGCATTAAAAATACACTATATATAAATATGTATGATATGTAAAACAAGTCTCATCTAAACTTATATAAGACAAGGACAACTCTAAAGAAGCTTTTCTGGTCTCTCAGGTAGATAAAGGACATGAGTCCTGTAATTCTTACGCAGGCAAATCTCTCCCATTAGAGTAAATGGCAGTTTTGCCCTAGCTAAGAGATTAGGTCTAATCCAAAACCCATCATCAAAATCAACAAGAGTCTCCACTGAGTGGGTTTTGGATCAGACTAAAAAAATCTTTTTACTTTGTGTTATTTTTAATAAACATCGATATTAAGTGCTTTTCTTAAAAAGAAAGCTGCAATTAGAAAAGAAAAGGAAGAAGCAAGAATAGGTATGTTCTTAATTCATGCCCTGGATGTGTTTCGATATCACCTAAAAGCAGGAGTTACGGTATGGGTTTTAGCCTTAACTTACATTCTCTCACCTTTTGCCAACCTGATTCTGTCTAATTTACTTAACTCTTATCTTTACATGTATTTAAGACAGAGCATTTTGCTTCACTGATTTGAGTGGACTGAGGAAAGAACAAAGAAACCACCGCACATTAATACGATGTCAGGGAAAGTATTGCACTTGAACAGAAAAATAACCCCAAAAGGTGGTTTTGTGGGTGAATTTTTTCTTTTGACTAATATAAGCAAATCATCCAGGTCTGCACTGAGCACATTGAGAAAGCAGGATCCAAGAATGAAACATAAGAAGCAAATTTGGGGTTGGTAACCCCCACCCTGGAATACAGCAGTAGTAAAACTTTTTTTTTTTTAAAGCATTTTCTTCCAAAAGGAAAAAAAAAAAAAAAAAGACTTTGTTGGTTTTTTTTGTGTGTTTTGTTTTTCTTTTTACTTTACAATTTTAAATCTTTCTAAACACTTGCATTAAAAGTTTCCAGTTTCTCATAAAAAGATATACATTTTAGGAAAAAAAAATTACAACCAGAAAATAAAACCAACTAAAAAGGAAGGCAAATATACAGTATTATAATTACATCACTGTGGAGTCATCTCTGAAGGTACCCTAGGTCTTTAAAGTGTTACAAAGATGTACCTTAATATTTTGTTTTCTCAAGCTATCTTTTTTTCTTTTTGCTTTTAATATAAAACTACACTTGAGTACAAAAATATGTAAACAGACTGTACAGCCAATGAACAAAACTCCCCCCCCAAAGAAACCCCCAAACCTCTAGACAGTCCCAAGCTACAGGAGATAAGAGCAGGCCCAGACTTAAAGCTCAGAGAAGGAAAAGGAGAAGAGAGAAAGGGAAAACCACTGAAAGCCCGAGGAGACTGCTACATGGCAGAGGAAGTGAACATGTTCAAGCTCTGAGGACACTTGACAATGCGTCAAATAATTGATCACAGTTTCAGAATCTGAACAACTACAAAAATAACCAAAAAGTCCTTCCCTTGTGACAGTGTGTTCAGGAATGAACATCCATTTCCAGTAAGCAATGTCAAAACCCGGTAAGTGCATAGTAGGGGATTCAGTGACCTCTACCCCTTCAAGAAGCTTTTCTTATCTGATGTCACTTGAGGTAAAACTAAATGGCCCAATTTACTGCAAACTGGCCTCGCTGTGCCAATAACGGAGTCGTGCTTTCTACCATGCCTTGCAGGAGGTGCCCATATTTTATCTGTGATGGATAATCCAGACTAGAGGCTGCTGTCATTCACATACGGCCGAGTGTGAGGGATTAAGGCTGCTACAGCACCGTCTTCACCACAGAGCCCCACCATGGAGTGCCAACAACTAAGACCTAACCAGAGCTGCTGTGCTGCACCGATTAGCAACTAAGGACCCAGTCTCACAAATAATGGCAATTATTAAGCATGTTGTTAACTGCAAAGCTCCTGTGTACTTCCAGATCTAATTGAAGGGATGGCAGGAGGCTAATCATGCTCACATGTTTTATTGGCCTGCAGCGCAGGCACCTAAATCAATACCTGCTGCAGGAAGGAAGCATCAAGCCCAAGTTTTGGGCCAAGCTGCTCCCTTCCTCCCAATGGAATATGCGTCAATAAGCCTCTCTCAAGACATGACCTGAACTAACTTCATCGTCATTCACTCTTTTAAAATACTTCACATACTGCTAGCAAATACATCACAGTACTCCTTTTGTAACTGTAAATCATATGGTTTAGTACAGCAGTGTAAGTCTTCGTTGAAATGGTCAGTTCCGCCCACTGATTAATAAGGTCCCGTGATTTGTTTGTGTCATGGTTTAAGGGCACAAACTGAACCCAGGACAGTTTGTAAAGCAGTTTTTTTACAAGAGGAGAGAACACAGGCAGTTATCTTCCCGAATGAAGATCCAAGTGAGCATACTGACAACCACCATTCCAAAGGCTGGAAAAGCTAGGTGATTCAGGTACCAGTTTTATTATCTTAGCCTGTTAAGTGTTCAGCATGGCAAGATGTCAGCACACAACCTCCTCCTGACTGTTCCCTGTTCACTTGAGAGTTTCAGTGGAGAAGGACATATTCACATGCTTTTAGGTTAGAGGCTAAACAGAAACCAGTAACGTTCTCCTTGGCTTATACTTCAGGACAATTCTTAACGGGATAAAGGGAATATATTTACGATGAACCAAATTCTGGATCTTTTCTACCTAGTTCCTCCTCCCATATACTCTCTGTGACTGCCACAGGCCCAGACCCCAGCAGAGAGGTGCCGAGGAGCTGGCAATGGAGTCAGGGCCTGACCCAAAGCACCCTCACCTAGTCACCTCCCCTGCCAGGTTCATGCTGTGCCTGTGTTGGCACACTTAGATACTGCACCCGTGCAGGGTAAATAACTATATCTGAAACTAGGTCACCAACCTGCCAGGAAAGCACCAAAACAAATGCTGCACTTCTCACCCAAGTGTTCTAGCTAATAAACCCCCATAGCATCTTCTACAGATGGGCTTCTCTCACCTCCGCATCAATCATCAGGGTGGCAGCACCATGACAATCAAACTTACAAGGCATTTCCAAAGGACTTTTGTTCCGATAGATTTCTTTTTCCAGGCTGAAGCAAGTAGGAGATGCTTTAAAGTCCACTCCTCAGTAGGATCTTAAAAGCACAGCAAAGTCTGTTTTCAAGCATGCTTTACTTAAATCTCGGGAGGGGGAGAACAAGGTAGTGCTGCCCTTGCACTCTGTAGGGCACTGTGAGCTGGGGATGCTGTGTGGGTTAGGACCAGCTCTGGCTGGGTAGCTGGAATGCACTTTGCCCGGGCAATTTTTAGCCCTTCCCACTCCTAAAAGCCATCAAACTCCAGGAAGTCTCACAGCAAAGTACAAAGATGGTCCTCCCTCTGGGTCAAGCTGCCAAGGAGGGTGCCAAAGGGGAGAGGGATCTACTTCGCTACACCATAGCAGAAGGGATGTTTACTTTGGGTTGTTTTTTGTCGTGCATTCTGAAAGGGTATAGTAGGATATCGTGAATGACATCACAAACTTTCAAAATGCATTTGAAAAAGGCACATTTACAATAAAGCATATATCTAATTATATGATACCATATATATATAAATACACTTTCTCAAAATCTCCAGCTGCCCTAGACTGCAGGACATGACTGCCATCCATTTTTGTTTTTAATTGATACTAAGCCAAGCTAAGACACCAATTTCTGGCATCAACGCCAATTATATCACACTTTTCCTCAAATCCCACACTGAGTTTAGGCAACTCTGATGTCAGAGCAGCCTCCTTTGCCCCTCCTCATCACGTTATAATACACAGCAAGAGTAAAGGAAAGGAATATTATCTATCAAAGGAACTGTATTACTGTGGCTCCTGTCCTTGGCACCTTTCCCTAAATGATCTCCAAAGTTTCTTTCTGGAGGAAGGAGTGTCTGATGTCTGGCTTTTTTCAAATACGAAAGAGCAAACACAGGACCTAGGCAACGGTAATAATGTCCTATAAAGAGCCAGTTTTGAAGGGTTTGTTTAATTCCTGGCCTCCTCTTCTGCCTGAGAGCCCCAACTTAGGAATGCCCTTGTAAACAGAAAGAAATTTGGGAACTCCTGAAATTGAGAATTTCTTCCCCTTGCAGTAAACATACTTCAGTTCCACATGGCCGTTTGTTTCTACGTCACATGGTAGAAACTCCCACCATTAAAAAATTAGGCCAATTAACAGATTTTGATTCTTTCTCCCTAACACAGAGCAATAGAGGTTAATGCCTAAACACATTTCACATCATAGATGGAAGCACTTCTTAAGGAGAACAAAACTGTTTTAATCCCAGAAGTTACCGAGTAAAGAGCTGGCTTTACTGAAAATGCTATATATTTTGATGTGCACTCATAACTGACTGCAAAGAGGTGGCTGTAAAATTCATTTGCCCGAACAGCAGATACATAGATAATGCCCTTTGCTCCAAGAATATGGATCATACCAAGAGCAGAATAAGCAGTCACACTTCTATAGAAATTAATAGGCTTGTAATACTCTAAGTTGAGTCAGAATCTCGTCATTTTTGATGTAAAATGAAGCGAAAGGGTTTACTGGCAGGGATGTGTGCAGAAATGGCTTTTTTTTTTTTTATGAAAATGGGGAATGTTCAGAAGAATTTGCAAATGCATGTTTTTAACTGGAAACCTGATTCCAAGAGTTTCATGAGAGCCCAATAAAAATTAGCCAGGTTCGATTTCCAACACCAAATACTTAGAACAAATGGATCCGCAGGCCAAGGATCATCTACTGAAATTCCTAGTAGACTCTTGAATGACTAATGAACTTGACAAAACTCAAGAGCTTTTCTTAGAAATCTGCAGAGAACAAGCAAGCGGAAAAAAATAAAAATCTCTGAGGCCTCATTTTGCACACTTCTGTGTAGGGAAAACTGCTTGAGATAAAACCCTCCAGTGATTTTCAGTAGTAAGCAAATACTAAAATCAATGCTAGCCCAAAACGCTGTTCAAACATTGAACTAGGATTTAATCTTTTTTTCCCTAGCTCTAGGGTGAAAAACTTGACTGAGTCTTCAGAAAAGGACATTGATTTAATGCAACCCCTCACCTTCTTGTTCTCCAAAAGATGCAGTTTTTGGAAGATAACTAAACCAGTGTCTCTTCTCACTAACTCCCCAGTTCTCTGTGCCTATGATAATGGGACATAGGGTGCTCAGCTACATATCTCACATACTACCATTGGAACAAGAAGTTGAGCTTAACTGAAGCCAGCTACAAAACCACTGAGCCTCCCTGTTTGGTATTTTAAACACTTACAGAATATACACTACAGGAGGTATCAATGAATCATCAATGAATGAAAGTGCACACTAACAAACTGCAGATGTAATTGCAGCCAACTTACTTGTGGATATACAAGAGATTATTCTCTGCCTTTCCTGTATTCTGGTGCTTTCCTAAACACAGGCAGAAGTTGTTAACGTTTTTTCCCTAGTGCTAACCATTCCAAGAAACCATAGCCTGTGGTCTTTCTACTGACCACAGAGGGGAGAATAGAATGTTGTCCCCCAGAGACTGAAAGGGATTGCCGGCAATCCTTTTCTCTGGCTCAGGCACATGTCTTCCTGGAGGTCCATGCAAGCTGACTGAACTTCCGGCCCAGCAGCTCTCCCTTTGCACATTGTTCTGAGATGACTTTTCCCACCTCAAAAAGCAACCCCTCTTTTCTGAATTTCCAAGCACATCCTGATGCAGAACACAGCCAGCTGCCTCCTAAGCCAATCTTCATGGCTGCAGAGAATCAGCCAGGAATAAAAGTGATGCCTTCCAGCATCTCCCCTTTTTTCTCCTGCACAAGCTCCTTTGATTGCACCATGCACAAGAAAATGAGAATGATCTGGAGGATGGCAGTGATTCATTTGCCTGACTTTCCTCTACATTAGGACGAAGAAAGAAGGAGGGGTAGGAATCCAATGACATTAAGAACAATGTTGGGAATAGGTCTTTAAATCTGTCTCTCCGAAGCCCGTATATTCCCAGCCTTCATAGCTCTCACATTACACAAGATGACATTTCTCTCCATATTGTATTATAATTAATAGGCTACTGCAAGACTTTACCAGCTCCTACTTAATAGCATTTCAGTGCTGGGAAGCAGTCATCAGGTAATCTGGCCATGATCTACTGTATCCTTTCTAAACACAGGTTCTAGCTGCCAAGAATGTCACCATAAAAAGATTTCAATCAATACCACTCAGCTCCTACTTTCAAATGCTCCAGGTCTAGGAAGAGAAGAAGAAAAAAGCCAGTACCCTCAAAACGAACAGCAAACTGGCATATGCATCGAGTGCGCAGATTGAAGTGAGCAGATGGGAATTCATTATGGCCTGATCTTGCTCTCTCTTTTACACTTTAGTAACTATACTTTGGAAAAGGTCTCACCAAGCGCATGGAGACCATGTGCATGGAGGGGGTTAAAACCATGCAGATCTTTCCATTCTCAAGCTGTGTTCTTGTTGCCAAACAACAACATTTCAATTGTGATTGGTACAAACAGTTGGGTTTCAATGGCAATCTGTCATGTAGGTTTAAGCCCAGTTTTTACTGATGCAACCTGCAACTTGCTGGGTGGTTGCTGGCTTTGTTATTTACTGGGAGAGAAAGAAAGGAAACAACATGGATTGGAGGTCTGATATGGTTTTTTTTGCTCTTGTCCAGTCTATAGTTCAATGACTTACTCTGAAGTCTGTTTCTCCATTTGACTTCCCAGTGAAATTAATAAAATAGGAATAAAAATGAAATCTGCAAATCCAAATCAAAGCACAACACCTGCAACTCCATGCATCACTTCCTGAAGAAGCAGGGAAGGTGCTATCCGCTCATTTGCAGGGATTCTGTGCTCTCCAAGAGCAAAGGCTATGCAGCAAAACCTGCAAATACTTCCACCCCTAAATTAAAGTAGAATTGATGACTTAAAACCAAAAGGAACTCATTGGTTCAGCAGATTTGCAAATAAGATGTCAATGAGAGAAAAAACGGTAAAGGTTCAGCTCCTGAAGCAGCTGGGGTAGTTCCATTAAATTCAATGGGGCTAAGGGGACTAATGCTGGCTAAGGATCCAGTTCCTCTTTTTCCCAGCTACAAGTCTTAGTTTAGGCTGTTGCCAAGATGTTAACACTGTGATAGCAGAATGAGAAAGTATTATATAATTATATATTTATATATACCTATATTTAAAGAACACTTTGCTACTTAGGACTTCTGTCATTTTCAAATCCGTACTTTTAAAAAAAATTATTTCAGAAAAGCAGCAGAACCTCTTGAGTAAACTACAGACTCTCTCACCCACTCCTAGCCCAGTTACTGTCCTAGAAGCAAGTGTAAAACTTATTTCTAAATGCTATTCCTTAAAACACAGGGTGCAACTAAGTAAGTAAGGCTCCCAAGGGTCTCTAAGAAGCCAGTGACTCAATACATAGGCATGGAGTAACAGCAAATCAACAATTCTAAAAAAGGTGCTTCATAAGTTAAGGAAAATAAAAATACAAAGCCTCAGACTTACCACAGAAGGCCCTCAGACTTATGAAACTAAACTGCTGTAATGTGGTACAGTGTTAAGACATACATTTTGGTTTCATTTTTTTCTTTAAGTTTACATTCTAGAGGGGCAAAACACACTGAACCCAGGAAAACAGTTCACCCTAGAAAGTAATTTTGAAAGGAACATTGACTTTCATTAGTGCTGCTAAATCCCTAACAGTTTTGCTTTAAAAATAATTGTTCATCCTGCAGAATAAAGATCCTCCTCTCTCCTCCAGCCATCGAAACCCCGCACTGTATCTACACATTTGGAAAAGGCTCTCCTCTGAAATGTTTCTATCTATTCGCCTCAAATTGTAAATGAGTGGCATCTTGTCAGGACTTTAAAGCACTTAGCAGGGTGAGTGATGTCCCAAAACAGGACATGATGTACAGCTGATTGATAAAGAAACAGGCTGCCTTTGAATTCCCACTGAAAGTGAGGTGGGCAACTCACCAAAAAGTGATGGCAACAACAAACCCCTCTTTTATCCCTTCCCTCTCTTCTTTCCATTCTTAAGCTGGGCAGAGCAAATGAGGTTGGGTCCACAAAAAAATAAGGTTAATAATAATAATAATTAAACAACAGCAACAACAACAACAGCAACAACAACAAAATAGGCGTCTCAATGTCTGAGGAAAAGTGGGATTGTAAGTGCAGTATTTCTTCATGTGCAGTTCTTCTACTTCATACAAGTCCCCTTTGGATGAGAAGGCCTAGTGGAATGTGTGCTCTCCTCGGACTATGTGCGATGAGAACTCATAGCGGTCCTGGCTTCGGTAGCCACAGATGTTGCACTCTAGTGGGTCCCGGTAGCCGTGGCAGCCCATGTGGATGGTGTACATGACATGGTCCAGGAAAAGGACGCGACAGTGCTCACACTTGAAAGCCCTAATCTGCTCCCCTTCTCCGTTGATGACTTTGTAGATATCCTTTAAAGAGCCCTTAGAAGCTTTTGTGGCATCCAAAACCTTGGTGTCCTCCTTCATATAAGCTGGGCTTGGCTTTCTTTTGGGATTTAAGGCAGAGTTTCCTTGGTAGGACTGGCGGTCTTCGTGGCTGCTCTCTGAGTCAGTAGAATCCAGGCAGCTATTGCTGGGGGAGCCCTCTCTATCCTGGGTTCGACTCTTTGGTCTGATGAGGGAGATCGGGCCATCCATGTTGTTCTCATGACTGTCAGCTGTTTCCCTGCTAATGGGCCTTTCTATCCTGTTAGGATGATAGACCTGAGCATAAGCTGAGCTGATGACAGGGGCCACCTCTGCAATTGTGCTTGGTGTGTGCTGCATCAGGGGGTGAAGTGCTTCAGCTCCAAGGTAGGTGATTGCATTGTTGATGGCTTGGTCCATCATGTGAGACTGCATCAGCTCAGCCTCCTTCTCATAGGTTAGGTTCATATCAAAGGGAATATCTGGATAGCCAAATCTCATGAGCTTTTCACCTAAGGGACAAGAGCAAATGAATGAGACAAATCAATGTAATCCCTCCAAGGCTTCACTGTAAAAGGGGTAGTGAGGGGAAGAATTTCACTCTGAAATTCACCCTGACTTGGGGCAAAATTCATTCTTGAGTCCCAAGTTAGCCTCCTTCTGCTTCACAGTTGACCTCCTATAAAGTTTCTGTCCTGAGATGGATAAAATAGCAACTTCACCAACAACTTTTTTGGTTGTTTTTTTTTTTTTTTTTATTTTAGGTGAAGCATGTGACTGCAGTGACTTCCTGACCAATTGACTGTGCCCGTGCTTTGGTTAGAAAATACATGTTAACTGGTAAAAAATGGGATTGAACCACCAAGGTCAATGAAGCTTAGCTGGTTTATACCATTAGACATAGTCTCCCAAAATTAAAGGAGGCAGTGCCACATATCCCCTGTACTTTGAGGTGCCTCATACATACCTTACAACAGGGCTGCATAGCAACTGCATACCTGAGCAACAGGTACAGGGGCACCTTTTGAGCTGCAATATTTAAATCCTTCAACCGGCAGAAGAAATGTCAGTAAAATGAGACAGAAGAGAGCAAGTAACAGGAGCCCTGGGAGCTGATCTGCCATCTCGCAGTCAAGCTATGGTATGTTTGTAGTTCTCCCCCACAAAAAGAAAAAAATCCTATCCCAATATTTTGGTCTGAGAAAAAGACATAGCAACCACCATCACAGTGCCTGCTTAGGCAAGAAAACAAAACACAGAAACCACAGTCTATAGCTTAGTGTCTTTGGTAAAAGGCAAAAGCAACTTTAATTTACACAGGTTAAATAAATACATAATGATGATGAAGCTGGCTCATGCGAAAGCAAATTCACATCCTTGTAACTTTTTTAAATCAATGGCATTACTGATACACTGGTAAATTATGCTAGTTGTAGGGCATGTTGCCTACCTATCACACCTCTCCTTTGAAGTTAACAATTTACCATTACTTCCATCAGGGCTCAACTCAGCAGCACTGCTTTTCCTGTGATGGCTTTAGAGTGTCAGTACAAGGAAAGTTCATATAACAGCAACTCTTTTTTAAATAGAAAAGGCTGTACGCATAACTAGGTGTATAGGATATGCATGCTCATATGTATTGACAGACACAAATATTAGCTAGTTGTTGACAGTTAAATTTTTAAGCTGATCTGACAAAGTCTGATAAATAATTTGGTCTTCATTGTCTTTGTTACTTCTCACTGCCTTGGTACATAAACCTGTACTTTCTTCAATAGCATAAGCTAATACATTCAAGGAGTCACTTCAGACAACAGAGGTTTGACTATCCAAGAATTAAAGAACTCAAGAATCTTCTATCACCTTTTGCCAAAATTGCTTGGAACAAAATGTGTATAAACCACCATAAGAAGGAAGCAGAACTGCAATCCCAAATCTCTTCCAAATAGCATTAGTACATTTCAACATAGCTATCACTCAGCATTTTATTCTTGACTATAATAATTCATTCCACTTAATGTGGCTTATCTTAAAATCACGCAGAAAGAAATAATTTAACATTACCCACAGAACAATCATGTTATCCTTGGAGATGATGCATTGCTTTTTGCTTGGGAACTTCGTCCTGATTAGGAAGGTGATTAAATGCAAGTCTAAAGTAAAGTACATAAATATTCCTACTCTCTTCAGCAACACTGCTCACATGCTTCTGATTAGACACCATGTTCATGTACCTCACTGCGTTTCCCTATGGTTGGCTGTGAGAAAGCACAACGCAGAAAATTATTTCTTTGTTACACATAAGGCATTTGGAGAAAAATAGGGAAGGAAGGACAGAAGGAGCAAATGGTCCTAAAGCAATGGCCTCCCTAATCTAACATGATGTAACGGTGATTTTTGCCATCAAACATCCTCTTAGAATCATAGAATCGTTAGGGTTGGAAAGGACCTTAAGATCATCTAGTTCCAACCCCCCTGCCTTGGGCAAGGACACCTTACACTAAATCATATCACCCAAGGCCTCATCCAACCTGGTCTTGAACACTGCCAGGGATGGAGCATTCACAATCTCCCTGGGCAACTCATTCCAGTGCCTCACCACCCTAACAGGAAAGAATTTCCTCCTTATATCCAATCTTAAATTCCCCTGTTTAAGTTTCAACCCCTTACCCCTTGTCCTATCACTACAGTCTTTTCAGTGTTTCTGCCATGGGCTGGCAGTCTCACTGTCTGTGATGCCTGTCCTGCCACTGATAGGATGGACAGCTCTGTAATGGGAGGTGGCTCCAGTCTCATACGAAATTAAGCAGCTTCTCCCAAGGTGGGGTCAAAGTGGGACTGGAGGAGAGCTCCGTGAGGCAGATGGGGACAGCTCCATGAAGCAGATGGAGTCTTTGCCATGGTGGGAAGAAAAGGAATGAAAATGGAAAAATCCATTGGTTCCTGTCACCTGCTCTGGCCACCCATACCATTCTTGTGTTTGAATAAAGAACTGGATCTGGTGAGTCTGATCCAGCTGCCAAACACACTGTCAGTCCTTTGTAGGCTATACAGATCAAGAAATAATACCTGTTCTTTATGGACTACTTTCATGAATGACACAAACCTTATTTTGATTCCTTTTGTCTTCCACATTTAGTTATTCCAGCACAGAAAACTGTAAATTGTCAGTGACCTGAATGATTCATTCCTTTAAATATGAACTGGTTCCAAAGATGTCAGAGCCTTAGAAATTAAGCGCGACATAAAGGAGTAAAATAAATGATCATGTGGGGAGGAGAGGGTGTGAAACAAAAGAGCTCAGAAGAATTAACACACCAGTCCAACATGGTTTTCAATTTTAATTCCTCTTTGGCCAAATCTGCACTTAAAACTAATCAGACTCATATTTTAATTTTTGTGCAAGATTATGCTCAAATTCTATTTACACTTGGCCCTACAATAGTGAAGTAGAAGAAGAAACATTCTCCACTGTGGTCATCTTATTGTATGACAGTCAAAAAAACCTCAAAGCAGGTATGCGAAGCTAGATCAAAGCACACAGACACAAATGCTTTGTGATACCTGTAGACCATCTTGTTGAGTATCTACAGCAACTGCAATGCCAGACACCTGGGAGAAAGATGCAGGAAGTCTTGGAAAAAGCAGTTACAGAATTTACCACTAGGTAAACTTCCTTCTGATCCCCATTAACTAGAAGTTGATTCTAATTTTGAAGCTGGTTGGTCTTCATCTGCTCTGAAATACCTGTGTATTTTTGATTCTTACTATAACAACCGTGGTCTTAAGCCACATGAATGTCTTGTTCTGTATCCTGCTAGTTCTTGACAGCTCAGTAAAGCTCTGTGAGAGTAAGCACCATGTTCAAACCGAAAATATGTGAATATGCTACATGTGATCAGCTTGAAGATGGTTACTTTCAATTTCACTATTGTGTGCTTCTCCCTTCTTTGAAAGAAGTTATACATTCTGCCTCCACTGTTTTCAACAGGTTTGGGAAGACCTGTATCTCAACAGTGGATATATAACCAAATCTCTCATTCAGAAATTAACTCTATTTGCTGTACGCTGCTTCCTCTCCTTCCCTACCAAAATTTCAGCCACAGTAGAGACTGTGGTCCAAACCCAATGTCCCTTGGAGATTGCTGATCAGAAAGAGCAGTAAAGTAGATGTAGTCTGCAAAGATTTTAGCTTATGCTTATATGACCTTCTCATAAACACCATTAAGTTGTTTTGGACATGTGCCACACTTGCAGTAGGCATAGGAAAATTTCCTGCAAGCAAGAGAACCATTACAAGTTCTTCCTGATAGAGTTGAACAATATTTCATTAGGGAGAAAACGGGAAGAAAAGTGAGATCATGGTGAAAAAATAAAATAAAGGAACAAAGTGGAGACAGCTGTTATTAATTTCAAACACCGTGATGCCATGAAAGATCAGAAAAGGCAGAAAAATAAGATACAGTAAATATTAAAGAGGACACTTTTTCCCTGCAGCTGGATCTGGATAAAAAGCTGCATGTCACATGAAACCCTGAATTGGAAGCCCCAGAAAATGGAATACCAGAATGATTTGTTACACCTATAGAAGGAACAAGTTTATCTAACACCAAAGTAGTATACTATACTGAAGAGAATAATAATCTGCTACAGCATATCTCAAGCAAGGATTTCCAGTCAGTTGAGGTAGGTTTATAATGAGCAAACTATACTGTTTATGGGAGTAGGCCTGGGTACACCAGGATTTAAGGGAAGAAAGCAAGGTCTCCAGCCCTCCCAGATTAAGTCTCTCACCCCTGCAAAGATAACCTTGAGAGGTATTGCAAACAATTCTGTTCACATGCGGACAACTTGGGGGGTGAGAACAAGTGAAAGATGTGTATTGCCCTTCTTCATTTTGAGGCTGTAATATTTCTGAAGTCTGACAGTTTAAATGTCAGCCTGGTTAACTAATACCACTGTTGATCACAACCTGCAAGAACATACAGTACTTGTTGAGACAACATTAGGGAAACTTGCTATGATGGGGCCATGTTTATAGTCTCATAAAGCTGTATTTGGTTTGTCAGTAGAATTCTGCTCCCATTTCCCTCCTCTTCAACACTGCTGTCACAGCTGTAAATTAAATGAAAATATAAATCCTCCAGTTCTCATCAGCTAAACAGTAATTCATTTCAGACCACTTTTAAAGACAACAGTCTACTGATTAAACTTTTATATCAGAAGGACTAATTACAATATAGGAAACATTGATGTCCACCAGCTTTCCTTGTGGGGGTTGGATTGTTCCTGACCTAACCTTGGCTTAGCACTAATATTTGGGAATGGTCAGATGACTGAGAGCAGCCAGGTCAGTGTGTCAGTGTCCCCCCAGGTGAGCTGCTGCATGCTGCTAGCCCCCTACTATTCAAAACCATGTAGGTTAGCTGAAAACCACCTTCAGTGGTGATTTAACAAATCCATCTGAATCTGCATTTAGCTGAGGGGCAACAACTTTTCTAAATGGCTGTGTTAATTGCTTACAGTGCTCTTATCCTCTCTCTGTAAGTGGCCTCAGTGTAGGCAAAATGACTATACGACAGCCTTAAATTTTGTACAACTGTCCTTCCAGGGAGTGAGCGTGGAAAATGCATATTACATGACTTTGGAGTCTAGCAGCATACACTTACCCCAAATAATTCTCTGCCCCAGCTCCTCTCCTAAGAAGTTTAGCACTGCCTCAGTAGCAGTAAAAAGAAGCTTTAAGTTACCACTCAAGCCAAGTAAATTCCCTATACTGTCTCCTGTTAGAAGCTGAACAATTCCGAGATGTCAAGACACAAAGCAAAACTTGAATTTTTGGCCTAGGAGTCTAAATTTGGTAACAAAAAGTCACCCAGTGGTCTATATTCATGCCTTAGTAAGTTTATTGTGTGCAGAACATTGCACTTAGAGCAAGCAAAGGAAGTTATGTGATTTCTACTTCCTCATGCTGGTATTATCAGACCAGTTGTTACCAACTCTCAAGAATGTGATACAATTTACAAGTCTTGGGATACTTGTCTGTTTTTTTTTAATACAGAAACACGCACACACACACATATATATATGGAGACAGATAATTATATGAGAATCTTAGTTTTTATTTGCTGGGGCAAGGACAAGATAAGTATAAACCTCAAGGAGGACCAGAGAAAAGTTTAAAAAAAAAACAAAACAGCCTTAAGGCACAGTAAAAAGCTCAAGATTTTCTAAACCATTTTCATTATTCTGGGGACCTCACTTTTGAATTCTCTGGGTTGGTAAAATTAATTCAATATTTTTTAGGATTTCTTGCAGCTATTTAAGCATCTCCATTGTTGTCCTTCCCCATCACAGCCAAGTTCTGAGAGCACTACTTTTCCCCTCCTTCTTTTGGCTATTGCAAACAAGTAGTAACCTATACCTACATACTAAAAATAATAAAAGGCGTATTTCAAGCTTACCCACAAACTTCTGTGGGGTGGAGCTTTTACGCTTTCCCATGTTGCTTGTCAGCTTCTCTATAACAGCAGGTCTCTCAAAAGGCACCAGAGAAATATTGTTGTCCATCACAGGCTCTTGTTCCTTACAATCTTCCATAGGAGGTACTACATAAAACCAAAAAATTGTATCAGACAAGTCTGGTCTACACTTCACAGACAACACAAATCATTTGAGCCCTGCTGATTGCCCAACAAGTGCAACACAAAGTAAAACAAGGTGCAAGGACACACTGGGCATCAAGATAGCAATCACATTTAAAAAGAGCTACATTTACAAAATGCCTTTCTTTGGGACCATCTTACTTAGCAGAAGCCCAAGTTTAAACATTTAGTAAAGGACTTGATTTGTTCTGAATACTTAAGACACCCAGTGAGGAAGGTACACTTCTGAAAACTCACTCTGTAGATGACATTTTCTGTTACTCTCTGTTCAATATCGTTGCCTGTTGCCAATGTAACTTTTTAGTTATTCTTTGTGTAGTCCTTTAACTTCATGCTTACCATTCTTATTTTCTTTATGCACTAATCTCAATGACAAAAACAGCTACAAGGCATTGATGACTTGTGTTTCCTGGGCCTGGCTGTGCATTCCCCAAGACGACAGCTTCCCAAATGAAGGATCTGTTCATTAAAATGTGTTTCCCCATTCTACACATGAGATTGTAAAATCAACAAACACTGAACAGGAATTACAGGACTAACATTGTATGGAAATTCCCTTCAGAATCACTTGCAGAAACTATCAATTTTTCGATTAATATATGACTGTAGTGATAGGACAAGGGGTAATGGATTAAAACTTAAACAGGGGAGGTTCGGGTTAGATATAAGGAAGAAATTCTTTACACTATGAGAGTGGTGAGGCACTGGAGCAGGTTGCCCAAAGAAATTGTGAGTACTCCATCCCTAGCAATGTTCAAGGCCAAGCTGCATGAGGCTTTAAGCAACCTGGTGTAGCGGAAGGTATTCCTGCTTATGGCAGGGGAGTCAGAACTAGATGATCTTAAGGTCCTTCCCAATCCAAACCATTCTATGATTCTAATATTTTATCCCTTCAAACAAGACCTAACAGCCTGTGAACACAAGACTTCTGTGTCTGTCTTTACACTTTTGGGGATCAGCAGGGAGCATTCCTGTGCGACCTATGTTAGGTGAATGCTCACACATTGTCTTCAAGGCAATAAAAAGAAATCAGTGACCCATTCTGTCTTTACTCATTTCACTCTCTGTTGCTTGTTGGGTTAGGGAATAAGGTGCTAGAGCAAAAGAAGTATAAGAATAACACAGACTTCTCACCAGGGGAGTGACCAACCTGCACAGGGTTTTATGTCAATTGCTGACATACACAGCTACTCACTAAATACCTGCCAAGTACTCCACATTTGCTGAACAGCCAACACCATCTAAACACCAAGAAGAGGCAGTGGTACTATGCTGCAGATCAGGCCCTGAGAATTTGAATCATTTACAATATATGTCAAGTGTGATTCAACATGTACCTCTGCTCTGCTGCCTTGAATTTGATATATGGCCTAATTGTCCCTCATACACCTTCAGAAGGTAACAAGAGAAACTTGAGGGGAATCAGACACTGGCCCATGTGCTAATGGGAAGGTTGAGATCCAAAAATTATTTCATGAGAAACTGGGATGACCTTGCACAGAGTTCCTACAATCTGTAAACTGTGAGCAACCCACTGCATTCTCTGCATGAGATAAATCTGCCTGTGAAGTCTCAGGTGGTATTGCAGAGGTAGCAGAGGAAGACTGAAACCCATGCCTTCTGGTCTCTCACCTTAGCAGCCTTGTGTGTCACAGGCACCTTCTCCCTCAGACTGTGCCATAAATGAACAACACCAGCCTACTTTCCTCCCATGTAAATTTACTACCTTAAGGATCCTAATGTGGAATAATCACTCCCCTGTTCTTGAACAGGCAGCTGTTTGCTAGCACATAATAAATGAAAAATGGGGTGATAAAAGTCTTGTCTTTGCCTTCTTTCTGGTAAGGAAGAGCAAATACCAGGCAATTACAAAAGAGAGTATCTGCTCAGGTGAACTTCTCAATTCAGACATTCATAATAAGAAAACATGGCAATTTTTTCATTTTATTCCATTTGTGCCTCTGCTGCTATGGAAAGCTGAGTTCTTTGAGACTTAGAATCTACCATATGCTATAAAATGATTTACTCTGCTGCTTTTTTATTTGTACAGGATGCTCCCCCTGAGAAAAACACAATGGTATCTCATTTACAAGACAGTCCTGCTGGCTTCAGTGAAAGAAAGGAAGAAAAAGCATAAATATGAAATGAATCTAATGTTGCAACAAAATGGGATGCGGTGTTCAAGTGACCTAATAAATGCCCAGCGCAGACCGGGAGGTCTGGAATACTCTAATATCTAAGGCTAAATTTTTAAGGTTATTTAAATACCATGCTTGGGCAGGAGCTATCTGCACTAGTTCTACACAAGTATTTACCAAGGAGATTTGGGAAGAAAGGAAAGATTATGTCTGTTGATTTTCACTGGGAACTGGCATCTGACTGTCCTTTGGTTTACCAAAACCCAGTGTATGTGTGCAAACGCATGCACACTATGTGTGAAACCCTGGATCCCTGCTCAGTGGCAATACCCACCCTCACTGTGATGGGCCAAGTCTGCAGGTGAGCGCACTTCAAGGATTTCCAGCCCTTGGTGTACAGGACTTATGAGGCTGGTTGTGGGGACCTAGGAAAGTGCAGAGGGCTTTAAATCCCTCCTAGGAAGACCTGCTAAAGGCACATTGGCTTTATAGAGCTGCACTTGCCAACAAAGTCAATTGAAAACCTCCTGACTACTTTCACAGTTGTCTGATTAAGCCCCAAATGTAGTGACATTTGTATGTCTTATAGCAATTAAGTAATAATTAAATAATTCTACTGTTTGGCATATGTGTGTAAAATTGCATATACAGAATTTGAAACCTTTCTTCCATGAAAAATGAATAGTGCTAAAAAAGACATCTGCTCTTCTCTAAGTCAGGCAGAAATTCTGCTTGGACTCCTTTTAAAAGTAAAATCATCACCAATAAAAGCATTTTCTTTTCTTTCATGATGAAAGATCTTTTTCCCACCTCAGAACTCAACTCTATAATCCTGAGCATGGCTCTATTTCAACAGAATCACACCAATACTTCTGTTGTGATGGGAGTAAGTTACTAGAATGTGTTTTCTGATATAGATTTCCTGGGAGAAGGGAAAACCAGAAATAGTCGAGTTTCTGAAACCATTTAAATTGCATTCAAAAACTGGACCAAACAGGCGAGATGTCGCATTTTAGAAACCCAAAGAGTTAAGCTAAAGCTCACATCGTCAATTCTAGACACATTCACTTTCTTTTCAATTCAAAAACATACAAATGAAGGACAAATAGCCCAGCCTGCACCTTTTTTTTTTAATTTCTTTTTCTGAGGAAAAACAGAATGAATGAAAAAAGAGAAAACCAAACAGATCACACACAGACAACAGTTATCACAAATCAGCTGCTCTGTGGTAGAAGCTCAGGTGTAGTAAATGCAATTCCTTTTGTGTCGTATTTCATCATATTTCATTACTTTGGTAGTGGGAGCTACTGAAGAACAGCTGACACATTATAACTAGCTTTGATACAGCAACTTATTTTATGCCTTGAACTTACAGTCTCAGCCCAGGAAGGCTTTTTTATTCTAAAAGCCAAGCATCTAGTCCATGAAAAGCCCACACTCAAGTTCGTTTCTGTTCAAGGATGTTCTTGATCAGCTATCAGGGTGCACTCCTAGACTGCCCATGCAGATGTTCACCATCTTTTCAATTGCAGTTATGTTGCTTCTAAGCCCAAACTCTCAATTCACTGGATGGCCTTCAGAACAAAGTCTTTATTTTCCTGAAGACACTGGTCTTTCAATCATAGTGCTTGAGGTGGCTCTCGCTTAGGTTTTGCTTCTTAATTTGTAAGAAGCCACACATACTATTAAAAAAGTTTTATGCTGTTTCAGTGAGGAAAGAATAGGGAAAAAAGAAGCAAGCAACATACCCAGTGTGTGTTGTGCTGATAAATACTTTTGTGTGCAGACAACAGACACTGGGCTAAATCTCAGCTGGTATAAATTAGTATTACTCCATCAACTTCAATTTCCTTTCCTAAGCTCACAATATTGCTATCAAAAAAAATGTGTGTGCACAGAGAAATGACAGGAAATATTCCCAGGGACCCTGGTGTGAAGCCTCCTGTGGGACCAGCATTTTAATGATGTTTTAAGCAACTATTTAAGAGGGAAGGACACAAGGCCATTGTGTGTTTTATGTAGAGCTGCCCTTTGAGCCTCACATAGCCTAGGGCTAGGCTTCTTTCTCCTTCTCCTAAAAAAAGTATGCTTCTCCACTCCACTTTAAGAATTTCCCTTGGCTTTTTGCTCTGTGAAGATGGAGAAGAACATGTAACTGGGTGTAAACCATAGCTAGCCTTCAACATTTCTGTTTGTTCCCACAAAGGTCATGTTTTTGGCATTCAGAGACTGTCACTTTAGTCACCCCCAACACATCGCTAGCTATGAGACCACAGACTAATTTCTACCTCCGGGGACAGCACTGCCAAGTCAAAAATTGCCAGGAAAGTGGGAGCTATCTTGCAGTAGGCCATCGTGCTGAGCAGGGAACAGGACATAGCCACAAGGAGGGGCAGTTCAGCAAGCAATAGGCACCCTGCAAGAGGATGGAGAGAGACCCCGAGACTCCTACATTCCTACCCACACACTGAAACTAGCCCTCCTTCCCCACTTGTTGCTTCCCCCTGTGGCTTTAGTTAGGTGATTTAGCCATCTGCAAGAAAAAGACCTCATCAGGCCACAGCGAAAGCACCCAAGGAGATGTTTGTAGCACGCCTATAAACCCAACAACTTGAGCACTCAAACTGTCTAGAAAATGATTCCAGTTTTCTGGAACAATTCATCTCCGCACAAATAAGCTAGACTGATGCTAAATGTTGGCTATATTGGTTGAGACTCAGCACAGCTGCCTGCATACTTAAAGCACAATGCCCACACAGCTGAAAAATCCCCACCTCTACCTATTCTGTGCATAATGATGAAATTGTGACCAGGAGGCACACCAAAATGCATTCAGAGGCTTCAAAACTCAGCAAGAAGAAAATTCTTAAGTGTATTTGGAAAAAGAGTCAGAAAAAAATCCCAATGTGATACAAGATCAACCAATGTTCAAAATCTCCAAGCATACACTTACTCATCCTCCGCAATAGCTTCTCCATTTGTGAGATGGGAGAGAGGAAAATCAGTACATTTTTTCAGCATTAGATTAAGACCTAACCTTAAGTTGAGTAATCATTTGTATTCTCCTCCCTGCTGACTTTATAGAGCCAGGAGAAAGGACTTGGCTGCAGACATCTACAGGTTGGTGCTCACGATCCTCTCTCCCATGCTGAGCTTCACGGGTGGGAGTGATGCTGGGACGTGAGGCGAGATTTATTCCTAGTCCCAACTGACTTTGGAGCTCCTTATTGCTGCCTGTCCTTGCTGTGCCCTCACTAAACAGCTAAACAAAGACAGTGGATCAAATATCCCCTTAAACATTCACCAGGGGAGATTTAGACATATTTGCCTGGAGGAGAAAGAGGCACTAGTTGAATTCAAAGTGCTGTTTTAAGCTAATTTTGTTGAGAAAAGTGAAGTGGTTGTGTGAACGTTTCTATTTTAAGCCTCAGCAAAGTCAGTCAGGCTGTAAATAAAAGAACCGTCCACATGGGGTTTGCACTGGTTTAACTTCAGCTGGTAGAAAAATCAATGCAAGATCAACCATTCCAGCTTCTCTGGGTAGACAAGGCTAAGGACTTACCCTTCTTGTCATAGCATTAAGCAGCTTAGAAAAAGCTTTAGATTTCCTCAGAAGTACACTATCAACAAAAGGAAACCCGGTTTTAATATATAACTGAAAAAAACAAGAAGTTGAGTGGAATTTGGGAAGATGCTCCGCAACATGGTCTCTAAAGCAATCTGGCTGTCATAACTGCATTAGCTTTCTGTTATTCCTCTAAAGAAAGGCAGACTGAAATCACTGGCTAATAAAAGACAAGCACACCCTCAGAAAGAGTGTGTATTCTGTGGGGAATGGAGCTGGTGGTTAAACTCCTACTATCAACTAACCACTCCATCGAACAGACCAAGCACACAATAGGTACCTGCAAATAGCAAAGCCCTGAAATCAGTCTTTCCACTGACTTTTACAAGTGTAAAGTCAGGCCTAAAGCATATGACCACTAATTTCAATGTCTTTAAAGTCATCCATTACATTTTAAATGTTGACTTTAGTCTCCAGGATTTCTACAAAGATTGTAATTACCTAATACAGCTGTATGAACCTTTAGGCAGTATGTATTAGATATATTTAGAATGCCTTTATAGGATTAAATTCTTCATGGAAAAATACTCTAATTTTTCTTTTTGTGATCTTTTTCATCAGAAAACATTCCATATTATTTATGCTGAACAGACTTTGTTTCAGCTTGTACTTTTAGGTTTTTAAAAACGACCTTTGAGAACTTTTACATAATTAATTTCCAAATGAAGACACATGACTCCACTCAATAACAAAAAGCAAAACGGGGAGGAAAAAAAAAAGGAAACATTATTTTGCCTTTTCATTTACCTACAATCTAGCTTTTGGTATTCTTAGGTATATGGTAAATTTTTATCAAAATGGAAAACATGTATTTTTTATATTTTCTGATTAGGTACCAAACATCTAAAGACAACTTTTAAAAGTTAAAAGATGTTCAGTTTTAGAACAGTTTCCAAGCCATTAATTTTGAATGAAACTGTAACAATTTATGGATAGCAATCATTTAGCATTTAGCGCTACAACCCTGCAGTCTGAGACATTATGCTCATTACCCACACTGATAGCTACAGAAAATTTTGAAAACAAATTCATGGAGTTTGACATTTCTTGCTTGCAACAATCTTTTTTGGCAATCTTCAGTCTTTATGTATATTAACACATGCAGTGTTAGTTAACATATTAATACTAACACATGTAAATGCATATAAACATTTTTAGGGGTTATAATTACTTTCATGAATTCCATTCTACTCTGAAGATTTTTGTACCTACCCCTCGCTTTCTTGGTGATATAATATTAGAGGGAGTAGAAAGAGCGACTTCTGAATAGCTCCACCGTCCTTACCTCCTATGAGTTAATTTTTTTGGTAACTTTATACAGATGACTGTTTTATTTTCATATTTGCCTATTTACACACAATAAAAAATGAAATACTGACTGAACAGCAAAACCATTGCTATAAACTGGACAGAGTGAGGACTTTAGCCCATCTTTTCTCCTCCTGCCTATTTGGGCATAATGTATCTCTAAAATGGAAATGATGCAAAGCTGAAAGGAAGGAAGAAAAACAGATGGAAAAAAAACCCTCAAGGGGTGTTCCACGTCCAAGAGACCTCAACAGGCGGTTTCCACCCACCATGGTGACTCATGACCTGCCCAGCAGCCTCCATACTGACATTCTGCAGATAGTTGTGGCAGCGTTCCTTGTGCTCCTCCAGTGAGCTGCGCTGCTTGTAGCTCCGGCCGCAGTAGTTGCACTTGTGAGGCTTCCCCACTGTGGAAAGAATGAGAGTGTCAGGTCAAATCCACTGCGACCCATTTTTACTATCAACAATCGTGCCTCTGCAATAAATAACTCTTGTGATGGAAACACACCTAAGAAAGGTTACTCAAGTCCCAGACCTTTTTCCCAGCCCCATTTTCCTGCCGCACACACCTCCTTCCCACCTGATGGGTACTTTGTCCCATCCCTTTTTCACACTAACATGCAATATCAGTGGAAGGAAAAAGGTGGACTTGCTGGTTGCAAAGCAAACAAACAACAAGAGGGGAAAACAAACCAAACAGCTGAATCACACCTCAGCACTGCCAGTGTGTCACCAAATCTTGTGGGAAAGAAACTTCTGAGACACTTTGCCCATCGTACCAACAGTTGCATTCACTAAAAGGAGCTGCCCCAGTGGCCTAATTCTGCTCCCAACTGTGAGGAAACCCATTGCATAGCCCAGAGGAGTTCTTTCATTAAGAAAATGTTGCCAAAATTACTAAGGGAAGATTGGAAATTAAAAGATAATAGAAAGAAACTTTGGTAACAGAACTGTCACATGCCAGAACTGAGCTCCCACCAGTAATTCACAGAGACTGGATAATATAAAAATATAGATAATATATATATAAATAAAATATAAAAGGCTATGTACAACAAAAAAATCAAGCCACGTGAATGATTTGTAACTTGAATTTCATTTTTTTTTGTTTCACTCGGGAGCATTATGAACAAATGTTAAACGCCTCTTAATACATGCAAAACCTGGCACCAGATTCTCATAAAGTATATCCTCTTCATAGCATGTCATTAAGAAACCACAAGAATGGCCTAACCCAAGGCCAGAAAGCTAGCCAGAAGTGTGTTTTGCCAAGCTGTGCTAATAAAGGCTTTTAATATAATTTAAACTTGTAGAACATGAACATTTATTCTGTAATAACTAAAGAGCTATTAAGTCAGTACTGTAAGTCTAGTAAAACACCATTGGCTGTGATTTTCAGAGCTGGCTGAGGGATGGGGAAGGTCAAAGTTCTTCCAGACTTCTGAAGATCTTAGGTGAGAATTTTAGTTTCCAGCCAAAGAAATTCAGAACATCCTTTGCCGGATAACATACATGTTTCTATTGGGCTTCCCCCAATACTGAAAGCTTTTCAGGGTCATTTACTTAATGAAATCTAAGCTCTACTAATTACAGCCAAAATGTACTGTCACCACTGGGATAGAGAAAACACAGAGGAAACTGTGGGGAGGACACCCCTAGCCAACAACAAGCTGGGCAGAGGGCTCCTAAGCTGGGCAGAGGCTCCTAAGTCCCAGTGCCAGGGAAACTCTCTGGGGCCTCTGCAGGACTAGCACATACCACAGTGTGTGCCCCACATCACCGATATGATGGAGGATGAGAAAGCCTGAGCCTCTAGTGTCAGAGTTGGTCAAAAAGCTTCAAATGTTTTCTGTCTCTGAAAAAAGGATTTGATGAACTGAACATGCTTGCAGAAGTTTCTGTTTTTCTCAAAGAGTTTGTGCAGAGTTCAGTGACACGACCAACCTTCCCACCAGGAAAAGACAGCTGCTTTTACTAAGCACCCAAACTGTGGATTGATTTTTTTTCTTTTTTATTTCTTTTTAATTTAGAGGTAAGGCTTATGCCCAGGAAAATAGTGCCTTACTCCAAAGAGTTGTTGTGGTCTTTATTTTATTTTGCTCACTACCTTACACTGTTGCTGCAACTGGCGCTGGCACTGGAAATCTCAGTGGAGGCCAAGCATGAAGCTCATTATCATTCCCAAAGTAATTGCCCTTGATGTGAATGATCTGGATCAAGCCTCAGCTCTTAAACATAAACTAGCCATTTCATTCTAGAAGCACCTTTAGGAAAACACACTAGCGGCTCCCTAGGATAGACTTTTATCATCACCATCACAATGCTTCATCATGCATCTAGATGGCATCAATGTCTGCCAGCCTGATGCCTTTATTAGAAGCTAACTCCTTGTATAATCAAAAAAATCCGATGCAATTAAAGATGTTAAGCTAACCAAGCTGAAGCAGGGTTGAATTAGTCCACCTGGTTTGGCTACACCAGGTTATCAAGCAACTTAGATAAACTGTAAGACACAAGGGAAAGGGATGATTCCTTTCAGCTATTCAAGAGGCAGCTATAACTAATCAAATATTTTATCATTTAGCACAGAGAAACATTCTGTTACAAGGTCCCACTACAAAAAAAAAACCACCATAAAATTGATTCAACAACCAAAAAAAGGTTTGTATGACACCTCTTGAAATGGTTGCTTCCTGCATTGCAACAATATCAGGAACTATTTACACACAACAAGGCTGAGCTTTTCCAATGATATCTAGTATGGTCAGCTACCCAAATTCCATCAAAATTCAAGGTTCATAGGGATGATAAAAGCTAATGATAAAGGCACAATTTCTACAGGCAATATGGGATTTGCAGAACATAACTCCCCAAGGAAAGAAATACTCCAGCACACACTCTGCTTCCTCTGGGAGGAGATAAGAGAATAAACAGCATGTGACAAATGTTAGTCATGTTGCCTATTACACAACTGGAAGCTGCTCAGACACACCTGTGAGGAACGAAGTTTGTGAGCTCCAGTTGAGTAGGACTGAATACAAGTCCCTTGGGTTCATTTCCAAATTCTGTCCCTCCTGCTCTACTGATGCAGCCACGTCAGGGGCCCAAACCTGTAAAACTGATTTTACAGGGATGTTGGAACTAGGTAAATTTTTAAGCTCCCTTCCAACCCAAACCATTCTATGATTTTTATTATAAAATTACACAAAGCAACTGTGTTGCAGTGCCATTGATCAGGTCAGACCACAGTGGAATCAGTTCTGATGGCAGCAGTTTGCGTCACCAGCAGTTCTCACAACCTGTTTGGCAAGTGGCGCACCTGGCTGAGATAGCACTTACAGTCTGGATTTTAGAAACCTTGTCATTGTGATGTCATGTCACTGAAATAGCTGCAAATTTCCCCTCAGGTTCTAAAATTAGCTAATGACAAAATATGCATTTGTGGACATGAACATTATGAGTGGTGTACATTTTTCTGTGTTTCATATTACAGAATCAAAGAATGGTTAGGTTTGGAAAGGACACTAAGATCATCTAGTTCATATTACCCAATAGAAAGCTGCAGAAGCGTATTAGAGAATTCAACTCCAGTGATATCCTCAACAGCATTCTTTGTTCCACATGGCAGTCATGTGGTTTCATATGGTGGTTTGCTAAAAGGGATTTCAAATACTGTACAGTAGGTAAGTGTTAATAGCCCAAATTTGCCCCCCCCCCCCCCCCCCCCAAATGTGACTTACACTACTGGGCATGAGCAGGCTTGGTCTATAGGCCATTGACTTGAAGGCAAAGAGCTCAACAGTGCTATTGCCTAACAAAACCCTCCCTAAACCCCCACTAAAGAGAGTTCTTTCCACCATAGAGCCATTTTCGCTGTGAAGCCACTCAAAGTTTGGCTCAACTTGCTCGGTATGAAGCTACCTTCTCCAAGATCCTCACTGAAGACCATGGTACACAACACCACATTTGGCACCGTATGTAACCACCAATGCCAATGACAGTGGCACCCAAGCAAAATCAGTTTGGAAATCCCTGGCTTGGGGTAATTATTCCTTTATCACCTTTTCAGGGTGAGCAATCAGATAAAAAATTACCACCACTCATTCTCACAGAAATGACGCAATTCAGTGACTGCAAACAAGCCCAAAATCTTGAGAAATCTTCAATCTATTGTTGAACTGGGAAAGACCACGGCACGGGGCAAAACCCAGCGGCCATACCTATGAAACAGCTAACTTGAAGAACATTAAAAAACACTTTACATTTCTTACTGAAATGTCAGAATTTCCACGCATTTAAACGCAGAATTGTACAAATGACAATGTGGCACAGAAAACCCACAGTGGAGTCTCAGCCTCAAATGGAAAATATTATGACAGTCACAGTGAAAAAGACATTTAAATTTGAAGTACAATTTTTACCACGAAACAGGTAAACCACTTGTTGAAATTCACAGAGAAACAGAGTTTGCTTGTGAAATTAAAATGCTTATGTTGAGGGAGGAAGGAAAATAGGAGGACATAAAAGGCAAGGCGTTTCTGAGTTAGGAATACTTTGAGTCCTGTGGGGCAACTCTGATAGCTGAGAAGCCTGCGTGCAGTGACAATGAGATGATGTAACTCTAAGGTCAATATTCAAGACAGAAAGCAGACTTGGTCCTAGGGAAACTTCTTCAAAGTCATAAAAAAAGGTCAGCAAAAGAGAAAGAGCCCGTAAGGCATTTGCACAGCATTTTGTTCTCAAAAGAGATGGGAGTGCACAGCAGAATATAAAGTAAGTAAAAGAGAAATAACAAGGCATCCCAGGTAACACCTTGCAATAAGCATATAACACGAGAAAGGCTTATAGAAGAGGTTAAGAGCAATGATACACTTTGCTGAGCTAAAATCTTGTCTTCCTTAAGACCAATGACAAAACATGCATGGATTTTAGCAGTCAGGATTAACTATTCCCACATTTCCCTATTTCATGCACCATGTTTTCCTAGGCAGCAGTGCCGAGCAGACTCCTTCCTGTCCATCTGCCCATGTCCCAGCTTTCTGCAACTGCTCAACCACTAACAGCTCATACAGAAAAGGGCATTACTATAGCTGTATGATATAGGGCAGCCCAGCCCAGGGACCAGAGACTTTGCACTGAGGTTTGCACCAGACTTTTATTACTTTTGCACTATTGCCCCATGAGGGCCTTAGAAAGGAAGCCAGCCAAGATTTCTTAACTAAGTGGCCATCTGATGTAGCTACTTTCAGTCTGAGGAAGTCCCTTCAATAGGAGCACATCGAGCGTGACTTATTTCTGTAAAATATGAATTCCCACTCAGCCCCCAGTACCTCAGAGCTCAAGGAAACCCCAGCACTCTCCAACTGAAGCTTTCTGAAGCAGCATCGAAGTTGTTAAAATGTTCCAC